GTCCTCTTGGCTATGGGAAGTAGACAAAACGGCCGGGGAGAAAATTGAGTTCTTGGGAGTGGGGTGGGATGGGGGTAAGGGGAGATGGGGAGAGTAAATGGAGAAGGGGAGAATGGGGGGAACTTGGGGAAAAAGGAGGATTGGGATAAAGGAAGGTTGGATAGGGGAGCACGGAAGCACAATTCTTAGTTCAGGGAGCCACCTTAGAGTTGGCAAGAGACTTGAACCTAGAGTGGCTCCCAGATGCCCAAGCCAAGGTCCCCAGTTAGTTCCTTGGGCAGCTGAGGATAGAGAACCTGAAATGACCCTGTCCTATAGCAATACTGACAAATATCTTGCATATCACCATAGAACCTTCATCTGGTGATGGATGGAGATAGAGACAGAGACCCACACTGGAGCACTGGACTGAGCTCCCAAGGTCCCAATGAGGAGCAGAAGGAGGGAGAACATGAGCAAAGAAGTCGGGACCACGAGGGGTGCACCCACCCACTGAGACAGTGGAGCTGATCTATTGGGAGCTCACCAAGGCCAGCTGGACTGTGACTGAAAAAGCATGGGATAAAACTGGACTCTCTGAGCATGGCGAACAATGAGGGATGATGAGAAGCCAAGGACAATGGCACGGGGTTTTGAACCTACGTAATGTGCTGGCTTTGTGGGAGCCTAGCCAATTTGGATGTTCACCTTCCTAGATATGGATGGAGAGGGGAGGACCTAGGACTTCCCACAGGGCCGGGAACCCTGACTGCTCTTTGGAATGGAGAGGGATGGGGAGAGGAGTGGGGGGAGGGGGAGAAGGGTGGGAGGAGGGGGAGAAGGGTGGGAGGAGGGGGAGGGAAATGGGAGGCTGGGAGGAGGTGGAAACTTGTTTTTTTTTCTCCTTTTCTCAATAAAAAAATGGAAAAAAATAAGCCAGTTTACTTATTTTCCTGGCACTTTTTTTTGATACTTCATTCTTTATCTTCAGACACCTTGTTTGCTAAGTTGTCTTCAGATTCCTTAGTTGGATGCCTTCATTCTCCTGTAGAGTGTGAGTGAGGATCCATTCAGTTCTTTTTCCAAACTGAAGTCTCTTGATTTGAGGATGTTTGCTGTAAATATTTCCCAAAAAATTACTGCCATCTCTTTCTCAATGTTCATTTTCTTTCCATAATGAGGAAATTTTATCATTAGTAAAAAGTACCAAAATCCCTCTGATTGACAAAGTCTTAATTTTCCTTTCAGAATCAACTCACTACAGTTTTCCAAATAAGCCTTTTTTTTTTAATTCATGCAGTAAAAATTACCATTTTCTAAGCTACTTACATTAGTATACATTTTGTATAGTGATCGAAATTTAAGGATACTTTTTAATACTCTATATGTTTCTATTTAAGTTTAAGGTATTTTTATATATTGATACAAATTCAATGTCATTATTGTTATACTTTATATATGTTTATACTTCATTTTAATGTTTTTTATACTGTTACAAATTTGAAGTTATTGTCCTTATACTGTTTATATGCTTCTATTTTTTCATATTACCTATACAACTTATACAGCTTGCTAATTTATGCAATGTGAAGTTGCAGTCATTAAATGTTATTTAGGATAATCAAAAAATCATATTAGTTAGGTTTTACAGGTACACAGACATATACTTCAGAAAGGTAGGCCATTCAAACTCTTCAAATAACTAGAGAACATGGCATTTGAACTGTTTTAATAACATAGGCTTTTGTTGTCATGAGAATTATTTGCTCTTTACAGCACCAATCTAAATGTAAGGGTATCTTACTTGATAATTGTTATTGTATGTAGTTTCAGTTTTGTTTAAGTTGGTAAATTTGCTTTCTTTTTGTACAATTCTTGATAACAATAGTCCATGTATATAATTTTATTGTGTTAGAGATAGAACCTTTCTTCTTAACTAAAATGAAAGGCGGTATTACAGGAAGCCTGACAGTGGTCCAGTAGCCAATAGAGAGGAGCGTTTTTGTCCAAGAGGCAGGGTTTTCATTGAGAATGGACATGAACAAGGGAGAGGCAGCTTTCTAAGTCAGGAACAAATGATGGAGGGTATAAGTGGTGATTTAGTGTCTCATTTCTAGGTTCTCCTTTGTTCTTTAATATTTCTTCATGGATTTTGTTTGATAATTAATGGTAAACATCATTAATCATTCTTTTAATCAAAAAGAAATTATGTATTAATCAAAACTAATCCTTTAAGAAAAAGGAATAAAATAATTGGTTATTTGAAACGAACTTCAAGTTTAAGAAGTTGATCTACATATTTTCCTAATAACTCTTTGACAGATTTGGCATGCAAATGTGTATTTATGAAAATACAAAGTGTATTATACAAACACAGCTTTAGGAAATCATTATTAGATTCAGTTACTATTCTTACATGCCAGGGAATACTTCAGCTTCTCTATATGAAATTTTGGGATGGCAGACGATATTTTCTTCAGGAACATCACCTTAAAAACCTATGTGCATAATTTATTTTCCTAAAAATTAAAAAAATGTAGTTTAGTCGGTAGATAGGGAAAGCATGTCTTTCATCAACACCTTGAAGCTATTTGAAGACAACAATGCATCATGGGGTCTTAGAAACTGAGAAATATGACCTAATTATGAGACAATGCCTACATGTATTTGTGTGACCATAAAATCTTCTATTTAAAAGAGCTGATATGCAAAGTTAATATTTCATTGGGGCTGCAGAGATGGATCAGCAGTTAACACTACTTGTTTCTCTTTCAGAGGCCCTGGTTTTGGGTCTCAGCATCGATATAGCAACAAACAATTATTTATATTTCTAGTTCCAGATATTCTCCTCTCCTCCATGGGCACTAAATGCATGTGGTACACAGTCTTTCATGCAAGGAAAACCCATTTACACAAAACAAAATAAATAATTCTTGTTAAATATTATACCTAATGAATGCTGACCTTATTGGATCATACTGTACATCATGAAAAGGCCACATGACGCAATATGCACCCCTAAAGTTGCTTTCTGGCATGAACGTGATCACATATCAAGAAACTGACAAGAACATGCTGACTGATTTTTACTCTTAAATGGACATCAGAGAACAGTGGATGCTCACTTGAGCTTTTACATAAACACAAAGTCATATTGGACTGTAATCTGAAAACATACATAGTTTCTTTGAAGTTTAAGTAACTTATGGCAGGTAAAATGCAGTATTTATTTATGTGCTGAAGTATGTGTCTAGGGCTCAATCACGTCAACAAGTACTCTACTACAGAGTTGTATGACAGCTTTGAAGCCATATTTTTAGGCTACATGTTGTCAAGGATGAGGTATTAGTTAAATTATGGAGCAACTGTCTTCAAGCAATATTCCAGGAGGCTTCATAGATGAACAGATATAAATAGGAATATTGATATAGAAATGAAGGTAGACATGCTAAGATATTAAAGACAAAGTATATAAGAAATGTATTTATTTCCATGCATTGAGACTTTTTACCTTTTTTTCCTCAGAATAATCTAATTGTACAATTTTGCCTGACAATTATTAGCCTAATAATATATTTTGCCTCTTGAATAAATTATGATATATTTATTCACCAATTGTCATATATTAATGGAGATTTTATGATTTTTTTTACCTCTGTCATGCATTCAAGTCAAAACTATGGCTTTCAGCTTAGTTTCATAGATTACAGAGTTTCTTGGAATATCTGCAAAGAGATTATCTTCTTTTCTTATAAAAGAAGATATTATAACTATTAGGATTGGTGATAATGTTGGTTTAGACATAAAAAGCCTGCTAATGAGTAACCAGAGGACTCTTCTGGAACAGAAGGATGTTTGATGAATGATTTAGAATACTGAAGTCATGAAAATTCATAGTTTCAATATGACATTCAGCTTTGTCAATATTGTACATGAATGTGGTTAGCCTGTGTCTATGAATATGTGTATCAATCTTATCCTATCCTGGCATTTTGTCTATACTGCTCTTTCCATACTGGATTCATGGCCATCCAAAGAATTATGCTAACAGAAGTTTAAGTGTTAAATTTCAGAATGACACCAAATTGTCATTCCTATGAATCTCCCACTGTGCTACTTTCATGAAGATCACTCTAATTTTCATAAAGAATCATATGAAAGGAGGAAAAGAAGAACATGATCTAAGTAAAATGAAAAGAAAAACTTGAATAGAGCATCCAAAAACAGCAAATTAAGAGTCTAAAAATTAAGGCTCAATTATTTACTTGGTTTAAGAATTCCTCAATACGTTGAATATGCAAACATTTTGTATTTACCTTTCTAGTTAAAATTCAACAAAATTTAAAAATCAATGAAAGAGCATTTACAAACCCTGAATAATTAAGTTGGGAAGAATGCTCTAAGGTATACATAAAATATTTTAAATTTCATATGCCGATTAGGGCCAGGTACATATTTATAAAAATTCTAGGGAGATGAAAACAATAAACATCTGGGCTCCAGAAACCATTGCATATGTAGGACTGTCCAAGTGGAGGAAGAATGTGAGCTGGTTGACACTTAATGTCAAAAGAACACCATCTACACAAACAGCAACTTCCTAACAGGTAAATTGTTAACGGAGTGTTACACGTGAGAAAAGAAACAAAGATTCCTTTTGCAGGTTCTTTTGGGCAGCTAATCTATTGGGCTCTGGTCAAACAACATGCATAATATACTAAGAGCATGTTTATGTAGTTTTATTTATTTATTCATTTATTTTACTATAACAAGTCATATCTTATGTTAATTCTCTGGCTAAAATCAGAAATATCTGGGAAATACAGCAAAGTTGTGGGCAGAACTCCTGGTAAGAATAAAAAAGAAGTCTCCCAAATGATACTGAACTGATTCATAAATGGAGAAAGTAGGACCTTTTCTAATGAAAGTGAATGAAGTGGTCTATAATTGCCTTAAGTTTGGCAACAGTCCCCAGATTTCACACATACACGCTCAGACCAAGAAAACAACAAAGTATAATTGCATGCTAAATATTTTATTGGAGTGTTGAAGTTTCTCTTAAAACATCATTGCTTCTTTGAAATGACATTAAAGGTAACTGATGTCTAATTCTCCTGCAACAAATAAACAGATAAATAAGGTAAGGGAGTAGAAAGATCTAGTCAGCAATACAAACATTTTCTGAGATATCTGTTATGTGGATATCTATCTATGTAAGCGTTCAGACATTTGATAGACCTTTGACTTTAAATAACATTTGTCACAGAAATCAAGGTATAGAGAACTTTCATGTTTTCGATGTGTAAAATATCTTTGCCTTTTGGAAGTCGGTGGTGATCTCTAGACTTTAGGACTGTGCTGTTGGCAGGAGGCTATTCATTTGTTCCCTAGTGTTCAGCCCCCAAATAAGCACACAGAAACCATATTATTTAAATGACTGCTTGGCCAACCATTTAAGTGCAATGCTAGATACCTCATATATCCTAAACTAACCCATCTACATAAAGTTGCTCATCACCCCGAGGTCGTGACCTACCAGCAATGTTCTAGCTGGGGCTTGTGCCTTTCTCCTCTGGCAACTCCATGGCTTGTCACTGACTCTGCCTTCTTTCTGCCAGCATTCAGTTTAATTTTCCTGCCTAGCTCTACTCTGCCCTATGTATAGGCCCAAAGAAGCTTCCTATTAACCCATGGTATTCACAGCAAACAGAGAGAATCCCACAACTTTGTTAGAATGATAAAGTGTCTTTTTACTTTTGTCCTGCTGATGAACCTTTTATTTATGCAGAAAATTTCTCGAGGTTACTTGCCTATTCATCACCTCAGTTGCCATCGTCACCATTGTCGTTGCCATTGTCATCACCGCCATCGCCCTCCTCAGGTGGGCCTTCTGGTTTTTCTGGTTTTTCAGGTTTAGGAGGGCGGGGTTTCTCCTGATCTCCCTCCTGGGGTGGGCCATGTGGTTTTCCAGGTTTTGGAGGGCGAGGATGATGTGGTGGTTTCTGTGGTGGTTTTTCTTCCCCATCGTCATCCTCATCATCTCCAGGTTCTTCACCTTCCTCATCTTTCTGATGCTGTTGACCTTTGCCCTGGCTTTTTTGCTCTTCCTCTGCAGGGACATAGATCCATGTCGAAGAAGCTTATATTCTCTTTCTGTCAGAATACCCTTCCTAAATTTATGAGTCTGGTTCTTTTTGAAATGTAATTTTTAAATATTTATCATAATAGCTTTCTTATGGCTCAGCTCTTGAGACAAATATATCTACTTAAATTTGATCATTAAAAGTGATTTCATTTTTCTTACAATTCTCAGACAGAAATGACAAAACTGAAAGGATTGTTTTAATAATATTAGTTAGAATTAGGCAATGTAGCCTAATGTGACAGCAATGCTCTATTATTAAATGTAGCATGTTGTTTTTGGTTCTATAACAAATTGGAGAACAAAAAGAAGTATAGGAAAGAGACTAAAAGATGTTCCATTCAGTTTTCCTGCAGTGCTTTTGTTGATGCAGAGCTGAGTGAGAAAAATAAATTTTAAAAAGATGAGAGATGCTGAGATCTATGAAATTACATAGCTATCTAATGTGGAAATCTATAATTATGAAAGGAATCAATGGGAAAAATTCTTTGATCAACCCATAGAGACATGGAAGATTTTTAATGAGGACAATCAGTTTGTTTATCATATGCAAGCCATTGCTTCCATCTGTGGAAGAGACAAAATGTTCCTGGTCGAAAACCTGGCTTCCTACTCTTCCAGTGTGTTGCCATCTTCTAGGTCCTAGAGTAAATGAAGGGGAACTTTCCTATATATTTCAGGGTAAGCTGTCACATGCTAACTTCACAAAATAAAAAAATTATGAGATTTTATAAAACTGAATAATTGCAAAGTAAATCACGCTTAATTGGTTAATATAGGATGAATCAGTCCCTACCTAAGAGCTGAGCAGAAGCGTCTTCACTGATGATCTCTAGAACATAAGCACAAGAACAGTGAAAAGTTATTTACAAGATTTTTTTAGTTGGAAATACAAATGGCTTTCAATAACATCTTCACATCCACTAAGAAGTATTTTATTCTTGGACCATTCTGATGATACTGCTGACAGAATGGTTTCTTAGATCAGGAACAACCACTATTTTGTTTCTTAGTATCTCTGACAACCCTTACTGTTAGACTTCATTTTAATATGGGAATTTCATTCTGAGAAGTTTATATTATTTGTTTTTCTTCATGACCTTCTTTTGTTGTATGATATATATCTGTAGGTATTTCATACATGAAGTGAAAATAAACATTGCTGTAAATACTTTGTGAAGAACAATGAATATTTTATGTGGGTCATTAAAATAGGGAATGAGTCCCACGAAGATATCTCAGTGGGTAAAAGTTCTTGTATGATGAAATGTATTCAGTTCCTGGAATCATATTGTAGAAATACAAATCTTGTTGACAAGATTCTGTCCTCTGACTGGAATGTGAAAAAACAGTCAAAATCTCTCTCTCTCTCTCTCTCTCTCTCTCTCTCTCTCTCTCTTTCTCTCTCCGTGTGTCTGTGTGTTTGTCTCCCTCCTTGCCTCCTTATCTCTTACACACATACAAGGAGACATATACACGGACAATTCTGCATGCACACAATGCTCAAAACTAATTTAAGAATTTATGCACTGATATTTCTACCTGAATCTATACAGTTTCAACTTTATTGCTTTATTCATTCTCTCAAAAGCATCTGTGACATACCTTTTCTTCTTTCAAATTTCACAATCCTCTGTACAGCAAGATTATCATTATTTAGTATTGGATTCTTATAACTCCTTGAGAACTGAGTTTCTTTCTGTCAACTGTATCATGATCCCATGCATCATGCCCCACCAAAAATGTCTTTTCACAAATGCATTCATGTTATTTTGTTATAAAATAATTTCTTAAATTTTACTATGAGCAACATTTAAGATCCAGTGCAAAATGAAAATATAAAGATTCCAATATGTTTTGCTAATCCTTTTCTTCAGTTTTTTATTTATCTTTTCACATTTCTCCTAGCTCTGTATTTCAGTGTATTGCCCAACTCCAATTTCACAGAACCACTGTCTACCAACTTCATACCTGCATTTGCTCTCTGAACTGAGCTCAGGGCCAACAAGGCTGCTGTAAGCAGGACCACCAACATCTTGGAGGAGCCTCTGGAGTTGCTTCCAAGTCTGTGGTGGGAGAAGTAAGGCCAGAGTCTTTATAAGGAAGGTAGAACAAAGGCACTTTTCAGGTCCTTACTGGTGACCTGACCTAACACAGCAGGATACGTTGCATCCCTGACTTTTCTTTGGGACATTAGCCTAGCAGGATGCATGAAGAGTAGGCTGTCAATGTCTCTGTTCTCAATAATAAAAGATGAAAGTGAGACAAAAATGTTGATGTAACTCAGGCAACATCCAGATATTAGAAATAAAGTTCTGTGATTGTTTAAGCTCCAGGTGCTGTAACCATGACCCTGACCGTGTTAGTTGTTATTGAGAGGGAATTTGCTTCTATCCACTCATGTATATTTTTGTCAAAATTCTTCCTGTCATCGAGGATAAAGATAGATATTGTCTCTGTTTCAATTCAACCTCTATTCATGGTGTTACACCCATGTGTTATCTTGTATATAATACAGAGCTGACTGTTTGTTTGTCTTTTTCAGTTTTACAGAGTGTTAGGACACCAAGCATGGATGCATAGTAAGAGACAAACAAGAGTGACAGCCTGTTTGGGCATAGAAAGGCTGTCCATAATGTGCAAATTTCCCCAGATCTGGTTTAAATTAGAGAAGCTATGTTATCATAGACCTAGAAGACTTCATATAGTATTCTTCATGTTCCTCTGTGTTATAGAAAGAAAAGTAGCAGTTGAGATTCCAAGAAACTGGAGGACAAGTAATCACAAAGATAGCTTCACTAGTCTTCATGAGCATAGTTGCACATTTTTTTTTATTAGAAATTTTGATTAGCATGTAACATGGTTTTGTGTAACACATATTAATCCCAGCACTTTTGTTCTGAGGCAATTGAATCTCTGTCAGTTCTTGAGCAGCCATGTTTACGAATGAGTTCTGGGAATTTTAAGCCTGGTACATGAAGAAACTTCATCTCAAAAAAAAAAACAAAGAAAGAACAAAATGCTTTGCAAATATTGTATGTTAATGGGTCTTCTAATAATACTATTTTGTTTTACTCTATGATCCTATTTTTTTTCTGTTGTGAGAGGTACAAAAGTACAAATATAATGAGCGATCATTCATGTCTGAAACAATATCAGTCTTTCATAATTGCCTAGTTTTTGTATGGGTTTGATAGAAATTTGAATACTATGTGGATTATGTAACGCACAGAGGGCCACATGGATTTGAATTTAGATGATACTTCATCCACATGAAACTTTCCTGTGATATGCATATCAATTTGCTTGATGCTCCATTTTAAAACATATGTAGATAGTCTCACAAAACAGAAATCACTGAATAATTGCTATAGATGATATGAAAATCTGTAATGAAAGCAGTTGTGTGTTTTTTTACCAAGTAAGTTGATAATAGATGTATTCTGAATGTGCAGTGTGTTTGTATTTGGTAATTTTCTTGGGTTCTATAAAACTTGAGACACTCTCACAGAGCTCATGGAGTTGAACGTTAAAGACAGTCGAGTGTTGTGAATAATGCCCAATGTATATTGACAGGATAGTTTTCCATGTGTCTGCAGATACAAGATGGGCAGGATTTGCAGATGAGGGGTCCTGACCGAGGCTGCCCTTGGTGAACCTTTTTCTGGCCAGAGGAGGAGGAGGGGAGAAAGCTAGGTATACATGCCCTGTGTGGGCAGCTGAAGCATTAGCTGTTCTGGCAGAAGTCAGCTTTGTTCTTAGCTAGGTGGGTCATGGAATAAAGAAGATGATTTTGTCAAATATCACACAACTTGAGCCCTTTTCTTGACCTTTCTCAGTGTCGGCAACTTGTTAAAGGGATTATGGTTTTAGGTTAGAAAAATATCACCTAGAAACTCAGCAGAAATAGTATAAACAGTTTGTGGAGTAGCTAAGGAGGAACACTGTCAGTCATTAGTTTTTAAGGTTGGCCAAGAAATACACAATATGCAACAGGCTCATAAGAACTTGTCGTGGTTGAAACAGTTGAGGATTGGCTTTTCCATATTACACACCTATCCCTGTTCTGGTTACAATCATGGAAAATTTAAATTCATCAAGTCACAAAGATACTTCCCTGTCCCATTTTTTACCGAACTACAGAAAATGCCCAAAATATGGATCCAGTACATATGGAAGTTCCAGTTTTAACTTGTGTGGATTCTGCATTGAAGTTTATGTTTTGAGTCCAGTTTTTTTTTTATCTGAATTCACTCTCAACGTCTTCCTCATTGTTCACATTATAAGCAATATTCGTTGTTTTCTCAAATCATGGTGACTGTGGTGACTGATGTCAAGTGGAATAGCCTCAGAGATTTAAATTGCATTTCTAAGAAAACTGTGAATGTTGAATATTTACAAAGTATTTATTAGCTTTTTTTAATTTTTCCTATTGTGGCATACCCATTTAGGGGTAGAGCAATGGCTTGGCTCACAACCAAGAATATAAGAAAAAAATCCTTTTAATATTTTTTTAACTTCTATGTATTGAGAGTTTCGTACATTCTGAATATTAGTCTCCCGTGTGATATACAGGTTGTAAGAGTTTTTATTTTCCTTCCTAATTTTTTATTTTTCATGGTGGGATCCTTTAATTCCACCTAATCACTTTTGTCAATTGGGACCTTCTGTTTTTACTCAAATCATTTTTAGAAAGTTCTAGGTATATGCCTCAAGGTTTCCTGTAACTTTCTAAACAGTTTCATATTTATCTCCATTCATTAAATAGGTTAAATTAAAAGTGTTTAAATTTGGAATGAGTACTTTTTAGGGTAGATTGATATCTGTGTATTTTTCGACATGTGGAGTTTCAATTTTTCAAGAGGTATTTGTTGACCATTTGGATTTCCTCTGCTAATATTTTGTTTATGATCAACAAATAATACTTTCTTGAAGATCACAGGGCAGAGCTAAGGCACTAGTTAGCTGTACAGAATAGGCAATGGCTGCACATACCTATAATTCCAGTACTCAATAGACAGAGGCAAATTTATCTCTGTGTTTTCAAGGCCTCCCTGGGCTACACTATATTGATCTGTCTCAAAGAGAAATAACTAAGACGTGGAGGGTCACACTTTTAACCCCAGTACTTGGGAGTAACTCTCCTTTAAAACTTGCATGAGGGAGATGGAGATAGGACTGCTATGGATGTTCAGAGTGAGGAATATAAGGTGGGAGGAGACAGTTGATTGTATTCAGCTTGAGGTTTCACAGAGAAAGCTTTCAGTCACAGGATTTCTAGTTTCATTATGACCTATTTGAACTGAGGATTTAGTAGAGGTAAGAGGTCGTGGTTGGCTAGTCTGGCTTTCTGATCTATCTGCATTAACTCCTATATCTAACTTCAGGCTATTGTTATTAAGACCAATTACAATTCGTACTATATTGTCTAGAATGGATATTTGACAGCTATGTTAATATTAAATGCTATTGGTATTTTGTGGGTTCTTTTCTGTCATGTAATTAATTTCATTGATCTACACATGCATTTTTGCATCTGTTCCATGCTGCTTTTCTTAAAATCCTTGTAGTATAATTTTGACCATGTGTTGTGCTACCATGTTTTTCTTCTCCTATCTAAGAAGAATTCTGTAAAATAAACACACACACACACACACACACACACACACAGACGCACACACACACACACAGAGTATTATTTGGTTTCCAACTTTTATTCAACCATGTATAAATCAAAAATATTTATCATTTAGGTTTCATTTGAATACAGTTAGACATTTTTTGTTTGTTTTCTAAAGATATAATATAAAACAAATTTACATTGAATAATCTTGAAATAAAATAAGTATGTGAGAAGGCATGTGCTTATTTCCAAAATCTAATTAATATATATTCAAGAAGGGATTTCACTGGATTTTACTCTACAGATCTGACTGGCCTCAAATTCAGAGTTCAGTTTGACTCTGTTCCTGGAATGTAGAGATTAAAGTCCTTCACTGACATGTCTTGCTCTCTTTACAACTTTTAATTTCACAAAAGAATCTCATTTGGCTTTCATGTCATAAAATTTCTCCTAGAACCAGGCTCTACTTACAGCGTTTGAATACTTTACTTTTACTTTTATATTTTCTGTATTTCCAAAGAGTGCTATATTTTACATATCAACCACAAATCATACTTTGCCACTCAAAGAAAACTGAAATTTACTGCATCCCTGTATTTATTTCCATCTCCACATTTCCTTTTATTTCTTGCTGTTTTAAGTTTACTTATTAACTTCTTACAAGATGAAAAAAATTCCATTTGTCATTCTTATAGATATGTGTGCAGCTTACCAATTCCATAATATTCCCTTATTTTTGTCTCTTTTTGCATATGTAAAATTAACAAAATTGAGTTTATTGGAGACCATTGTTTGCTTTTCAAATCTTTCAACATAGAGAGCCTCTCCCTTATATCTTTAATTTTTTAAATATTTCATTTATTACGTATACAGTGTTCTACCTGCATGTATACCTTCATGCAAGCATTATAGATGGTTGTGAATCACCATGTGGTTGCTGGTAATTGAACTCAGGACCTCTGGAAGAGGAGCCAGTGCTCTTAACCTCTGAGCCATTTCTCCAGCCCCTTTCTTATAACTTTGAAGTGGTTCTGATGATTTGGATTTTCTTTTTCTGTAAAAATTTCATTTCCTTGACTAGCCTTTGACTTTTCCTCTTTGTTTTTATCCAACTGTATGACAGGTGGCTCAGTGGTTAAGAGCATGTTAAGATATAGCGGAGAACCTTGGAATGGTCTTCAAAACACAATGGTGACTGACCATAGTTTTTAAACTTCTGTCTTCTCTTATTCTAGATTCTTGCTCTCTCAGAAACAGAGACAGTAAATGGAAATTGCTTTGCAACTATTATATTGACACACTTTAAGTATGGTTTTGATGGTATAATCCACTGGCATAAATGTATCCGCGCAAAATAAATGCAATGCAGATATCAAAGAATATTTACCACTTTAATGTTAAACTTACAGAACCGAAGCTCCAGCGTAGTACAGGAGGTAGGGAGGAAAAAAAGGGCCGAGCCGCCTCTCCTT